ACGAAATAAAACTTTCTTTGAACATCGCAATCAATGGCGAAAAGAAAATTGAGAAAGTTCTATTCGAATCGGACGTTTTCTTTATCTTCAAAATTATTTCTTCGCTCTGAAAAAGGCTTCTAACAACTTTAAGATATCTGTCGTGATCGAAAGACACGCTAAAAGATGTTTTAGAGAATTCAAGAGTAATGAAAAATTATACCAAAAAACTTCATTTTGTGCATTGTCGAAAAATAGGAAAAGAACATAAAAAAATTTAACTTCTTGGAAAGAAAAAGAACATATACATTTTTATTTTATATAATTAATTCTTCATTTGAACATAAATCCCTTAAATAGCTACTTGTAACACCAAAACAATAAAAACAATGTAAGACATCCAACGTCCATCCATAAGTAGCCCAAAAATTTAAATATACGTGTATATCTTAAGAGATTTGGAAAGAAAATCATTTTAATGGAAACATGTTTATTGGTAAAATATGTACAGAAAAAGACATAGAAACTACAATGACATTGACAATGAGTTCTAATTTCAAAAAAATTAAATTCTTCCTTTTTACAAAAAACATGTAAAAACTCCTTGAACAATACGAAAACAATTTTTCTTCGTCGAGATATGCCTCGGACGATAAACAAAATCTAGACCTGTCGCGTCCCTTAATGCTTTGAGAATGCGTAATCCAACTTATTGTGCCATTAATCATTCTATCCTTGAAAGTCTAACTTATCTTTGGATATCTAAACTTAGTGTTATATGCACGCAACCTATAAATACATAAGACCGTACGCACACCTGTTTAGTCTCGCTTTGATTCTTGTAAGCTTATATGGAGGTGCGCACACTACTCGATTATTAGTTGTGCAACTAAAAAAATAAACTGGCGATGAAACAATCTATTCTTTTAACTAAAGTACCCTTTTTGATCCACTAGTTCGGAAGTAATTTAGTATTGTTCTCTGACTTGTATCAAATCATCATCATCAGATCACTATACGTCCCCACCGAGTGGCTCGGAGCCTACCCTAAGTTAGGGTGACTAGGTGATAGTCAATTAAGCTGGCTAAGTGCGGGTTGGTTGACTACACACATATCTTTTAATTTCTTCGCCGATATGTGCAGGTTGCATCACGATGTTTTCCTTCACCGTAAGAACGTCGGGTAAATTTTGTACATATGAAAATTCATGTACATGGTACATGGCGGGATTCGAACCCAAGACCTGTAGATTACAAATCAAGTGCTTAAATCACTGAGCCACCGACGCTCTCAATCTATATTAAATTAAATCAATAAATTTATTATTATCATCAATATCAAACTTTATTAAGCTTCAATTATTATTGGGCTCTCTACAAAAGGTTTGAATCGAGTTTTACTCTCGAGCGAGCAATGAACAAAGTTAAAGGGCTCGAGTCTACAAATACTCGGGTATTTTCTCTGAAAATTGTTGGACTAGATACTTCATACGAGTGGCTTCTTACCCGTTTCCGGTATGAAGTACCGTACCTATTAAATGTAATACTAAATACGATACAATCTTACAAAAATCATTCCAATGTTAAAAAAGGCCGGAAATCGTGGTATTGGCCATGTTCACTGAGCCTGCAGATCATTGTTATCATATTTTTTTTAAAATAACTATTGTATCTATAATGACAATAAAGAGGTTTTTATTTATTTGAATGCGAAAGTTTAGATGTATATGTTTGGTAGTTTGTAGCCTAAACTGCTGAATATATCTCGATGAAATTTGTCATAGATGTAGAGGATAGTCTGAAAGAACACATGGCTAGCTTCTTTTGTTTTTTTAAATACTCACGTAGACGGTGTCGCAAGTGAATGATAGTAGTATAAAGCGTAGACTAAAGGTACTTATTAAGAAGGTTCTAATTTTTTTATGTTCTATTTTAGTGATTATTAAAGAGCAGTATTTACCTTTGATTCACTGGTTATGAGACCGGAATCTGTAAATAAATAAAATTGTGTTAATATTTTGTTGTTAATAAAACAATTATTCTATGTTTTCACTTCAGGAACTTAGGTATTAGTGTTTTCACGTCCATTTGTCGTGTTCGCTTTAATAAACTTTATTGTATCTCACGTGAATGCAACAAACAATAAGTATGTGTTTCCAAAAGATAAATGCACTGTCTAGGGATATGAAACGCTTTAAAGTAGAAACGCTGTGAAATATTGCTTCCGAAATTGCTTTTCATTCCAAACGAATTAATTGGTTCAATATTTTTTTAAGTATTAATAGTAATGGCATGTTTTATTTGAAATTGTATTCGTCAGAAAAAAAAAAAACGTATATGAGAATTTTTCGTTTAGTTGCTTTTTTTTCTTACAATAGAATGTTTTTTTGTTCCGTTGCATTTTTTTCCTTATACACAACACGACTAATTAAGCACCCAAAACAGTTAAGTTTTAGAGAACGAATGTTTATGAAATTAAATAAATCTAGTTAACTACGAGTATAAAGGAAAACATAACTAGTTATCTATACTATTATAATAAAGCGCAAACATACTCTTATTTGTTGTCTATGATGTCAGCAATTAAAGCATATTTTTGGATAATACTTTATTTAATAAAAAACCCTACACTTACGTCACGCTTTAGGTTGTTTATTTTCACGCTATTAAACTTAGGGAGTAAATATTTTGAATAAAAACCCTAATGTGGGAAAGAGACCATAAGTTGCTGCCAACATCAAGGAAGCTAGATTGCCAAAGTTTGTCATGTCATGTCATTTTGACATTTGCTATTGATAATTTGACTAATGTAAACAATAAAATAACATTTTCATAATTTCATGCGGATGAAGCCGCACGGGAACAGCTAATCAACAATAACTGTGATTTTAAATGCGCAAAGTCATTAAACATTTTTTAAAATCTCAGAAATTTAAATTAGGAATTTGAAAATAAGTTTTTTTCTCCAATCACAGCGCTGAATGTTGCAGACATCTTGAACGTCAACTCGAGATAGGTCGGGTTAATTTATTCCATGTCTCTTGACCCGTGCATTCTACGAATTTCCAATAACCTTATTATGGTATTAGTTATGTATTCCATTAAAACATTTTCTATCAAAACTTTATCGTAAATATAAAAAAATATATACACATTTTTGTGTGGTGTTGTCTTGTTGTCGTTGTCACTTCTACAAGACAAAGTATTAAAAAAACCTAAATAATTTAATGCAAAAATTAAAATCATTGGATATAGAAATGTATGGAAAACTTCACTGATTATTGCTATGGTAAAATTAATAGTGACATTAAGAACCGCCGCACTTTGACTAAACTATCGCACAACTGTTGTGCGATTCTCGATTGTAGAACAGCCAATTAAACTGTTTAGTTGCAGAAGTAAAAGCGCGCGCACACTTTTGACTAAACTATCGGATAACGGTTTAGTCATACTTTGATTCATATGACCTTACAAAGTGCGCATACTACTTAATTTTTTGACGCTCATAGGATTCAAAGCGCGATGATGATCAAGAAGGGATGACGGATGATAGAGTTATTTGGAGGACGAAAAACCGGTCCGCCGACCTTACGGGAGTAGGATAAGGCAGGGGAGATGATGAGGAATGAAAGCGCGACTAAACAGTTATGCGACAGTTTAGTCAAAGGTTTTAGATAGTCGGAAAAATTGCAATAAGTCAAAACCCTTTGTATAAAAAGCATAAATAAACCAACTCTTCTTTAAAAGCCATTTAGCTGGCAGTACTTCAAGTTTATATCGGGTTACAGAGAAGTCTTCAAGTTACTTTATCCTCGCCTCACAAGAGCATGAAATTAAGCCGTTTTCCTTTGAAAAGGATTATTAAAAATAATTCCAGACAGATATATTTCTTGGAAATGTTCTCAAATTTAAAATTAAATGGAATCTTTTTTTGTCATCGAAATAGAAATTAAACGAATTCTTCGAAGTTTTTACTTATTTGTACAATACTAGCTGCTGCTCGTGACTTCGCTGGCGTGGAATTAAAAAAAAGAATAGTTAAAATAGCCTATGTTACTCAGTGACAACATAGCTTTTTAAAAATGCAAGAATTTTTAATCGGCCCAGTAGTTTTTGAGTTATACCACAAATCTTTCTTCTTTAAAACATTAGTATAGATTATAATTAGATAGAGGGATCATACATTTAAGGTTATCAAACCTTTTTAGATATTTATTCAAATAAAATAGTTTTAGAAACACTCAAATAAGCAGATTTTATTTTACGTCCGATTTAATAGTAAAAATACCAATGTAAAAATACTGACAATAAAACATAATTTTAGATAACATTATCAATACGCTATGAAAACAAACATATTACTAGGAATTGAAACATTTTCCTCGTAATTGGAAACCATCATATAATATGATTTATGAAAGTTCATTCATTACTTGATTTGTGTTTACCTATAATGCCGCGAGATGGCACTTACACAAACTTTTTGTCATCAAGTCTATTATATTATCCATATAATGGTTTATAGACTTGTTATACATTTTTATTTATGAAGTATTAAGTTATTAATAAAATATTTTATTACTTACTTTTAATATTAAAACAAAGATTGCATATTTGTCCTTTATGCTTAAGCCTAACATTTTTTATTTCTCATTATACTCGAGTTTATAAGCAAATGATCAAAGGACCGCAATATTTCTCACGCACATTTTTTAAGTTAGATTCTAGCTTAAAAAGTTCATCTGTCAGGACTAAACAATACACTCACTTATGCTGTACTCGCTTGTCCAGGTTTGTTTAGGGTCTTGTATAATCTACTTGTTAAAGCATCTTTATAGCGACCTGTCTGCGAACTTCAACCTTTTCCATCGGCGCCGCAACCATTAGCCGAATCATGAAATTCTTATGAAATAACAACATATCGAACAACTCAAAAGGTTAGAACATTTACTAAGAAATTACTTGATGTATTCCGATGGATGTGCCAGAATAATCAAATTCGAATAACCTAATGATTAAGACAGAAATAAAACAAGATTCTATCATCCAAGAAAGAGATAAATAGAGAATATTTGAAATTAGCTAACCTGTAATCTAACTGTTCATACACAAGTCTTCGAAAAGAGAACGATGTGGCAAGCATAAAGACATCTTACAAAACTACATTCCCTCTTGATTACCGTCTTGATTACTCCGGTCTCTGGTTATGACATGCTCCTAAATGAGTTGCCGGCCAAATGATCACATAATTCCTTTGCAGGCCACGATAAATACACTCGTATTAGTTGTACCCGCATTCCACTCGACAGAGTACCTAAAGACGTGTTACTACGTGACCAATTAACTGAATTCGTTTGCTTTACGATCGATATCAAGCGTGTTCTTTATTTGTATTATTTTTTAAGCAACATAAATAATTATTTAACTTTCATGTTGTTTAAAATTACTATAAACTTCATTTGGTTATTTAAGAATAATAATCTTTGATCAAATAATATTCTTATTAGGAGCCCCGTAAATGGTTTAGGGTCCTCTAAATTTATGAGGGTGGTTAGTGAAAATGATATTGAACCGCCATGTAGGGAATTTACTGTATTGTTTAAATTGTGGTATCTGTATGGCGAAAGTTAATTTTATATGGAAACTGCAATTATCCGTAACCTTGACACTCAGAACTTACTGCATTAAAAATCCGTGTATGACCGCTCTTAGAAAAACTAAAGTAGACCATAATATTGAAATGCTATAACATTTGATTTATCGTTTGCATAAAAAGTAATGTTCCTAAACATTGGTTAGAGATATCAGAGGGTTTAAGTGTTTACTTCAAGCTAACGGTGGTGTCCGATAAGAAAAATGAAGCTTGTATTTTGTAGTGAATGTCCAAAACGTGACCCAGCGCCGTTCCCTTGTAATAGAAAGTTTTAGATGCTAGTTATTTAACATGTTAGTTATTTTTATAAGCGATCTGTCTAGTGGTTTTCAAGGATGTGCAATATAAAAAAATAGAGTTTATGAAACTTCCTCGTAATTGAAATATTTTAATGTACAAACTATCTACGTTATTTATTCATACTCATGATCATGAATGCAGAGCGCTTTTGTCTTATGGAGGGTCAGCACAGTATGTGCTCTTCCATACATCTCTATCAATCGTCATATCTGAATCCACTCCCTTCTTAAGCATATCCTTTTTTACACAATCCGTCTATACTTTCTTCGGACTTTCTCTACCTTTGTAGCTGTCTATAATACCCCATATATTCTCATATTTTATTTAGACTCCGTATAATTCGAACACGGATTAATAAAAAATTACACGCCACTGAAGCGCTAAAATAAATATGGTTAAATTTTAATTGCATTACAACAAAGTGAATTTAGTTTATTATGAGTTTAGAGTTGGCGTATTGATTCAAAAAGTACCATCAGGTAACAAATTTACGGTAAATCCCATACAGGAATAGATATTAGATCGTAAAAGTTAAGTTTGAAAGTGAGGATCGTAAAATTGGGGAATCTGCTCCCTGTCATAAAACTGGTATTATTTCCAAATACCTCTTAGCTTATAAAATAGGTCACGGCTTCTGACACCTTTACAATCTGATTATACATTTACGATGTTAGATTTTTCTCTTGTGTTCTTCGTTTTCTATTTAAAATATTGCTAATTAAATTTAATTATTTAGAAAATTCAAACACCACCAAGATACTAACAAAATAAGTGTTGATTGTTTGAGTTTAATTTTATTAATATTAAAGTAACTAATCATTTGTACTTGTATTAGATAAGTTGTTCGCATTATTTCTTCTATGTCTAAAAATAAGATATGATATTTTCATTTATGACTTTTGTCGGCGAATACATGAGTGCGGTATAAAAATTACAACAAATTTTTATATGTATTCCCAGACTATGTTCTACATATGTGCCAAATTTAATCGAGATCCGTTACCGTTCCTCATTACATCGTTAATTAATGTTCATATTCAACACAGTTGAAAAATAATCTATGCAAAATTAACAAAAAAAAGGTGAAAAACACGTGCGCCTGAATAACGTGAAATCAGAGATACATGAAAACGTTTTTTATTCATGAAACATTCGGCTTCGGGCCAAAAGATGTGTGTGCCCCAGAGATATTTACCAAGTTTTATACGCAATCCCCGGGCAAATTTGTAAAGTTGCTAGCGTCAGTTTGGGCAAACCGAGAAAAGTTTATTTCGTTAGCCGTTCCCGTCAGATACTCATTACGACGTTTGTCTACTGATATACTTGGAAACTTCTCATATAAGTTTTTTATGAAAAAAATCTGAATTAAAATACTTCAGTTAAGAACCAATAACCTTAACTGGTCGCAAACTCACAACAGGTCACATAGACCAACATAAGGAAAACTGAACAAACAAAGAAGTTTTGACAATAATGATGATTGTCGACAATCTTTAACAGAGTTTACAACTGTAATGTGTAGCATAAAACTTTTTGACATTATAAATTAACTTAGCTTTTTACTGCACATTTTTTTTATAACATAAGGTGGCAAACGAGCAAGCGGCCACCTGAATCCGCCATAATAGCGAAGCGACCGCTGCCCATAGACACCCGCAATTGCAGATGCGTTGCCTACCATTATCCAACAGAGGACGAGACGCACATGAAGAGAATATCTCCCCTTCCTACCTACATCCTCCTCCATCAAATTCACTTCTCCTTCCCATCCTCTCCTTATAAGAAAAGGGTGGTAAAGAGAAAGGGACTTAAACTAGGCCTCCGGCACCACACTCATCAGACGAAACACGGAATTGCTTCCATTTCACGCCTGTCTTCTGTGTGGTCGTGGTATTGCACCGGGCGTGCCGGCCTATTCGTGCTAAGATGTTAAAGCGGCACTACCACTGTCAACATAATATAATGTCCATAAAAAACTGAGATATAATATTTGTGTTACTACTTCGGTAGTGGACATCTGCGGTTAGAAACGGCGTGCCTTAATCATGGTAACTTTACCATAGTCTTGCACGAATAACTAGCTCGCTGCTACATAGCGTGTAATTAAGCGATTGCTTGTAACTTCCTAACCGCATTCTAATTAATTAAGCTAAAGCATACAAACGCTAGGGTAATTAATTATTCATTTATCCTGTAGATTCAAAATTACTTTAAGAATTGTATGACTATAACATATACGTACAGTTCCGATCCTCGACTTGTACTAATGTGTTATCGATTTTACAATTTCATATGTATATTTATCTGACTTTTTATGCGAAAGGAAATCATCATGATATATCGGCGAAGAAATTTAAATATATGTGAAAAGTCAACCGGCATCGGGAGAGTATGGTTGACTATAGACATTCGCAACGCCAAAGGTACCACATTTGCTTTTGTGGCTTTTAAGAGAGTTTATGGTCTTTTCTTGAAGGTCACAGTAACAATAATGCTATACTAGACCAGCTCACCTTAAAATTTGGAGACTCAAAGTCGGTTTTGAATTGATTATATCACTATTAAAGATATCGAGGTAATCTAAAAACAAAAGAAGAAATATTATATCAAAAACGATGCTTTTAAACTGTTCCACCAATGGCTTTAATTGCTTCCAACCGTTTATTTTTCTCAGACTTCAATTGCTGTAAATTACATCTGGCTACATAAAGTTTACTTTCTTTTAATTTATATTCTTTCAATTGCATTCCGATTTATTAATCTTTGTACTTAAAGTGGGTCATTATGATTTGTTGTTTTTAACGAGATATATATTTAATAGTTTTCCTTAGACAAAACTAGCCAGTATTTACTATGTTAATGTAAGCGAATACGAAAAGTATTGCTGTAAATTGATTTGTAAACTAGTACAAATATGCTACTACTAATGGGCCGGCCGGATAAAAAACAAGTCCGCGTTTCGTCTAGTGTGTGTGCCGGAGGTCTAATTTTAGTCTTTATCTCCATTGCATCCTTTCAATACAAGGAAAGGACGGAAAAGGAAGGTGGATTTGTCGAGTTATGGGACGAATAGGTAGGGGACATATCTTTGTTCTGTGATAAGATGACGTCTCCTCTGTTGGTTAAAGGTTGTTAACGCGTCTGCAAATACGTCCATGGGCAGTGCCCGCTTCACCTGGGTCGTGATAGCTTGTAAAAACATATCTTATCAAGAATCTCTCACTGAAGCAATAAATAGTTTTTTCAATTAAATAACCATACAAAATATGATGTAATAGTAAATTAAACATTGAAATAAATGATATCAAATATGATTCATGTTTAATTTCGTTACAATCACCCGACAAAAGCATTATCTTTGGGTTATACCAATAAAATGTACTATGACCCTTACAGCAGTATATTGAAACGAAATTTAAAAATTTCATAACACTAACAGAGAGACGTTGTTTTAACGAAATTTGGAGTTCCACTGTATTTTTTTAAATTTAACACGCTATTATAAATTTAAACAATTTATAATAAAGTATTTGTCATTTTATGTAACTAGATATTTTATTATTTTTTGTATAATCTAGATAGGTTCTAACAGTGGCAGTGCTCGCTTTAACATCTTAGCACGAATAGGTCGGCACGCCCGGTGCAATACCACGACCACACAGAAGACAGGCGTGAAATGGAAGCAAGTCCTGTTTCGTCTGATGAGTTCGGTGCCGGAGGTCTAATTTAAGTCCCTCACTTTTTACCATCCTTTTGTTATAAAGACAGGATGGGAACAAGAAGTGGATTTGACGGTGGAGGAGATGCATAGGAAGGGGAAATATCCTCATTATGTGCGTCTCCTCCTCCGTCGGATAACGGTAAGCAACGCATCAGCAATTGCGGATGTCTATGGGAAGCGGTCATTTCGTCATTTTGGCGGATTCAGGTGGCCGCTTGCTGGTTTGCCACCTTATGTTATAAAAAAAAATACTAGACTATATCGATTTAAAAAATTCTTTGGTATTTGAGAACCCCAAATATTTTTATAAATACCTACTAGACTGTTTTATTTGTATTTATTTTAAATCAATCTTAAATTCTTTCTATTTACGGTCTAAAATTATTATCTAAGTTAGTTATTTAAATTACTTCTAGCAATACCAAACATTCTGTACCTTAACATCATAATATTGGAAGGTTCTTAACATTTACAAATTGTTTTCGGAAGGATTAATTAAAATTATTTTGCCCTGTCTTCAACAGATGGCGTAGCGAAGTATACAACGAAGTTAATAATCAACGATTTATTCTCTTTTAAGAGCGGGCGCACACGTTTGACTAAACTATCGCATAACTGTTGTGCGATTGTCAATTGTTTCGTAGCCAATTCAACTGTATAGCACAACTAAAAATTGAATAGTGTGCCCACCTCCGTATAGGAATCAAAGCAAGACTAAACAGTTGTACGATAGTTTAGTTTCAACACGCTTTTACTAATAATAATTCAACAAAATTCATCAAGAATAATTTGTCATCAACAATCAAACGAATCCCTTACGCATAATCAAATTTGTAAGTTTTAGTGCCTGTCCCACCACTGGCTGATAGAGGCTCGGATAGTTTAAAAATGACGTCACTCTCAGATAAGGGAACAAAATCCGATATTTCCATCACTATTACACTTTGGATTGTTATCAGACAATTTACAATTTGGTGGGACAGACCATTACACAACAAAAATGATTGTTACTGTAATATAATTTTAAACAATTTAGAGAGAGGGAAGTTATATGGTTTTATAATTGTTATGGAAAAACACAACATTTGTTTTTAAAAATACATTCATAAACGCGTTGGCGATATATTTTACTTACGCATGTGTATGGAGTTTGTGTGAATGATAAAAGTTTCCGGTACTGAACAAAAATGTATAGACATTCGTGATAGTAATTTTAATTGAATTATTTAAATTTTTATAGATTTTCATATACAGTTTTATTGGCATGTTGATTATAGTTGTGTTAATCTAAATGTTATGAATATTGTCTCTCAATGTAATATTTTTTTTAAACTTTTTTTTTAAATTTTTGAATAAGTATCCGTTACATTTGGTATTTATAAAATAAATGGTGAAGTTAAGAAAGTTATTTTATTAACTCGGTGTCAACTCTATTGCTTTTGTTATTCTCGTTTATAACAAAGAATTGCCATCCCTTATCTTTCGGATCCCACATCCATTGAATTGACTCAGTGACGCTGGAATGGTACAGTGAAACGGAGCAGTTATAATTAAAAGTTTAATTTTTTAAATTTTAATGTAAGTGTTAAACTTACGGATACCAAAATGGTCTACAAGTTAATAAAGTGTAAGCATATCTTAATTTTATATTATATTAAAATGTAAATTGGTTAGACATATATAGAACAAAGCCACTGATGCGATTTTTCAAATTGACGTCAAAAGAAATATTTTATTTACATTGTCATAGTGAAAAGTAATAGTGATTTTAATCGAAGAGTGTATTAGAGGAAGTTTGAAAGTTGTTTAGACGAAATATCAGCGAGGTATAAAGATATTATGGGAAGAGATTGGTATGTAAACAATAAAGACAAATAATACAGTGAAGAATAATTGTATAGAAACTGTGTAGTAGAATATGTAAGGGTTTAATTCCAAGTATAATAGTGTAGAGATACATGGAGAAGTAGTAAATTGATACTATTCCAACTCCGTGAATCAAAAACTACAATATAGTGTATTTGAAATTTATATCAAGAAATTCAATAACGTAACGTTTGAGAAATAATATAAACTTTGCGTTTATTTCAGACTTGGCCAGTCTCAGTCTTATCATACCGTCAGTTTATTCTACAAATGAATGCCCTGTTGAAGATTATGTGGATGGGTGCAGATACACAGTAATCTGCGATATTTTTGCTGGTTCTTCTTCACTTTATACTTGCAATTCAGTACCGCACATTATTTTTAAAATAAGGCACTCCAGAAGTGAAACTCTAAGTGCAAGTTTCTTTGGTTCAACAAACTTTGACTCGAGAGTGCGTGAAATTAAAGCCATAGATAACGATTGGAGTAAAATAGAATCATATGCATTTAAATATTACACAAAAAGTGAAAACGTTGATTTATCATCCAATCACATCAAAATAATTAAAAATGATACGTTCAAAAATTTTGGTTATCTGACACATCTGAATTTATCTAACAATGAAATCGAAGAATTATATCCCAATTCTCTGGCGACAAGTTCCATGCCAGATTCTGTGCTAGTCGTATTAGATTTGTCCAATAATCAGCTGAATAGTTTAGAATCTGGCGTATTTAATAATTTTCCAATTCTTAATACGTTATTTTTGCAAAATAATAAACTCCGAAATATCTCAGATGATAGTTTTGGTTTGCTAAAAAATTTAAAGTATTTATACATGCAACATAATATAATTGAGATTTTAAACATGATATTAATAAATTTGAAATCTCTAAAAGAATTAGACCTGTCTTTTAATAAGCTTAAAAAAATTTCAGGGTATGAAGTAAATCGTTTAATTGCCTTGGAAAAATTAAACATGTCCTATAATGCTATTGAAGTGTTAGAGTCCAATTGTTTTAATCAGTCGCCTGACTTGAATATCCTAGATCTAAGTCATAATAGAATAGTATCTATAATAGATGCAAAAATGTTTGAGAATAACATACATTTAAAATATTTTGACATAAGTAATAATCAGATAACAACGATAGAAGATAATTCTTTCAAGAATTGTAAACTAACATATTTTAACGTAGATAGAAATCTGATATCTGGTAATGTAACAAAATTTACATTTCTCGGTTTAAGTTTTGTAACTCAATTGAATCTGAATCATCAAAATATTACTAGCTTGAATGCAAATGCTTTCTCTAATATAACAATGTTGGCTTCTTTGAATATAAGTTCAAACAGTATTAGATACATTGACAAGGACAGTTTTCAAAACTCTTTTAGCTTACAAATTTTAGACTTATCATATAATGAAATCACAACTTTAGATTTTGTAAATAACACCCTGTATAATTTAACACATTTATATTTGGGTTATAATAAAATTGTATTCCTACAAGAAAACTTGTTTAAAAACCATAACCAAGTTATAAAACTAGACTTATCTATGAACAAAATAATAGAAATCCAACAAAATTCTCTACCTTTGTTAAATTTACAATATTTAAACATCACAGGAAACAATCTTGTTGGGACGATTGAACAAAACACATTTAGTCCTGCTAAGTTCTTGAGATATCTAGATTTGAGTAATTTTAAAATAAATAAAATAAATGATATGGCTTTCATTGATCTGCCAGTTTTAGCTCGATTGAATCTTTCAGTGAATGAAATTGAATTTATAGGACCGAATAATTTTTATGGTTTAAACAATATGTATGATCTAGATATTTCAAACAATAATATAAGTGAAATCAGTTTAATTAACACAACACTTACAAATTTGAAAGCTGTGAATTTACGTAACAATAAATTGACGAAACTTACGAACTCACTATTTAATGCAAGAAATGTAATCTATCTAGATTTATCATTTAATAATATTTCTAATTTAAATGACACGGATTTTCAGATGTTTCCCAATTTGAAAGTATTAAAATTGTCTAACAATAAGATAAAAAATTTTAACGTTCCACAAATCAATGCATTGTCAAATGTAAGTATCATTAATCTTGCCCACAATCGTATTTCACATGTTGACTTAAAATATTTCGAGGAGTTGGTAGGTATAGACTTAAGCAGCAACAATATATCAACAATAAACAACACTTTTTCCAAGAACGTTGATCATTTAATTCTTGTCGATTTAAGTAACAATACTATTGAAAATTTACCACCAGGAATATTCAACAATATGAAAATATTAAAGTCACTTAACTTGTCATCAAACCATTTGACTAAATTGCGTTATGGTAGTTTAAAGGGATTGCATAATACGGAAGTTTTAGACATTTCAAGAAATAATATTTTAGAATTTGATGTGAACGTATTCCACGAATGTCAGGCTTTAAAGAAACTTATAATCGATTACAATAGAATTAAATCTGTGGATGTGGAGAACTTCAGTCACACATTGTCCAATCTTACAGTCTTAAGTTTAGGAGGTAATCCATTGCAGTGTAAAGAAATCGTTAGAAATATGAAATCCGGAGTCAAAAGACTATTAGAAGTTACATCCATAGATAAAGTCTATCACGAAGATAATGTGTATGGTATAAAATGTGGAGACAATAATTTCGAAACAACTACTAAACATAAAATTGACGATAACTTGCAAGATTCCTCCTTAACTAAGGTTGTTTTGATCTGGTGCTCTGTTTTGTCAATATTAATGATTGCAATGGGTATAACCTTATTTGTGTACAGAAACAGAAAGTATAAAATGTCCAGGCTTCATTTAAGGCATTCTTTAGAAATAAACGGTTCAGAATGTCCGAATGATTTGTTAAGTTAGTTTTATAAATGTTAATCAAAGCCTAATTTATCATCGAATAAATCATTATAAAGTTTACTGAGTTTTTACTATTTACTTTTTTAATATCGTAGAGTACCTGATGTCTTATTTTAGTTTCTATACACGACCTATCCGAGGAAAATAATTAAATCTATTAAGTAACCCTATACCATTTTTTTGCCTGAGGGGAATGCTTCTTACGCATACTCCGCGCCCAGGGGTAGTCATGTGGGGCTCTCCCCCCATAATGGGGGGCATACCCACTAAATCCCTCGGTTCCTCCAACGCCTTAGGTCGGGGCCACGGGCACGCTTTCGCTTACATCCGCAACCCTTTCGAAAGATGAAAAAGGGCCACTTGAGTAAGTAACAATAACAATGAGTAGTAAAGCCAGATGAAGGTAATATTTGCGTTAATATATGAATGTATATCATAAAGGTAACTCATAATGTGTTAAAATTGGTATCAAGGGTCTGAATATATTAAATGATGGCTACCTGACGCGTAGAGGTTAGACGGTAATTCAGAAGGTCGGCGTATGTGCATCCATATCGTCGAATATGAATTATTTACATAAATTATACATAACTTAAAACCTTTGAGGATACAAATAGGATAATATTTAGATATACGAATACAATTTGAATTACAAATTATGAATATGTTACTTTACTAAAAATGAAATTCAATATTATGCATTTTATTATTCATTTATTGTGTAACTTCTATTAACCACTGAATACGTTTAACACTAATCAATGACCCTTTATTGTTTCGTTAGTGGTTAGAAAATGTAATAGTTTTTTTCCATTAATACAGATAAACGATTCTATTTATAATGCTACAAATTTAACGTTGCGTTAACAATTGATTGAATATTCGTCTATATTCACGAGATATTCATGATTTACTATTTACACAATCTTATCTACATTTCTCCAGCTATATCCTGTTTGCTTCATATATTGACTGAATTGATAAAGGATAATGAACTCAATAATTGACTGAATAAAGCATAATATTCTATGTTTGTCTTCGGAATTGAATATAGCCGAGAAATTCTGAACATGTTTACTGATATCATTTGATTGGAACAAAATTGTTACAGATTTGATTGCTGATTGAATTATAATGAATTAGTTATTTTGCTAGTTCATATCTAGTAACTACGATCATAATTTTAGCAATGAAATAAATAACATGGAAATGAAACATATTTTTTTTCATTTAAACAAAAAAAGAAAAAGCGATGGTAAACAAAGCTGAAGCATTCATAAGAGTAATAGTTAATTAAGACAAACCTACACGATGATTTGATGTGGGAGAGGAATCAGAGAGACAGAAGCAAGAAAATTAAATTTGATTATTACTAAAGTATCTAATCTAAACAAATGTAGATCAAATTTTAACAAGTGGACAAACATTTGGAGTCGAGGATAGTTGATGTTGTCCAAGTGAATCAACCTGGGTCGGTCTGTTGGGACTAGGATGTTATAAAGTATGAAAGTAAACTGCAAACTTCAAAGCGGAGTCTTGTTGTTGAATATCTGATAACAGCTGCCGTTGAATAACAGATGAAGTTTATCCAACCTGTAGTGAAATTAATCGAGCAAAATCAGGTGTAGTAAATTTGCCTGGAATATATCGTACGTAAACAATTTGAACTTAGCCAATAACATGATAGTAAGGTAAACTAACGTAATTTAAAACTGATTGTGTTTTTAATTGTACAATCAACTAATAGATTTAAGGCCTGTCTCACTTGAAGATGGAGATTCAGATGTTTTAAAATGACGTCACTGTCCAATACCATGCGAAATATAGTTCCAGCAGTTTTAGATAACACAAAATGTATGCTGTGATGATTTAATTGCTCTTTTTATACCTAAAATGTCTGCAGCAAGTGTGGTGCCACAAGTCACTAGTATGTGAATAACACAGAGAAAGAATGTTTAAATTAATTTTATCATGGGATTTGGAATATCCCATTGAGAACATTTGAGATTCAATTAAGATTATAATTCCGAAGATTCCCCCAACTTCTGATTACAAACTTTAAGAACATTGTTTCGAACAGACTTTAATATAAAGAGGGCAGCTTTAACTTTCAAAGTACTTTATATAGAAATTCATAGAATCATGACGTCACTGTTGGGCTGTTTAGTAATTGAAGAAAACGAAGCTACGTGACATATGTCTGTCTCTTTTCCCCTCGCTATGCGTTATTTAGAATTTTTGAGAGCGTTGATTTCTTTTACTTGTCTTTAACGATGTCCTTCATCTCTACCGATATAACAATGTTGACATAATTGTGCATTGTGGTATAATAATGAGCAATTCGTTTGTTTCACGAGAAAGAAATGATATTTTTAACATCACTTTCTAATGTGCGCAAAGAAATCAGCTGGTATTCCGCAATATGGCAAATCATTCTTCATTTAAAATGCAATGTAAAATGTTTCTCTATATTTACTGAGTAAAAGGTAAGATTAAAGTAGCAAAGCATCCAACAACAAAATGCACAAAGCGTAAACAATTCCTTTGTGTCAGTGCAAACGTGTGCATTTGTGGTATCTTCTTGATGAGTTACTCAGAGGTTTGAGCGAATCAAAGTGGGTCAGTCTGCTGGGAGGCTGAGATCTCACTGTCTGAAAGTACGCAGCCTGTACACGTCAAAGTTTAAACTTGTAGACGAAAATTTGATAACAGTTACCGCTGAATAGATCAACATTCACAGAGTTACGGGAATGGTAAAGATAGTCAAGCGACATTCATATTTATCTAAACATAGTGGGTAGTTAAAATACATAAGTTTAAAATTAATTAAGAGACACTCATGGACTTTTGTTTCCTAACAATTAGGTAGAAAATCATTTGCCACTAGAGTGGTAATACTTTTTGAATTTTTTGTATGAAAAATCTAGAGATTTAGGTATAAAACACATAGAAATATATTAAATTAGGGACCATTGGTGACAGTATTCCCATTCAATTCTAAGTGACAGATTATAAATGCGAAAGTTTAGATGGATCGATGTTTGTTAGAGTTTGTATTCTAAACTACTGAACGAATGTTGATGAAATTTGGTACAGATGTGGAGAGTACAGAAGAATATAGGTTACTTCCTTTTTTAATTTCACGAGGACGGAGTCACGGGGAAAAAGTTATACATAAACAAACATAATATCAACAGACAATTTATTCCATTGATTATAGATATCATTTTTGATTTCGCCTAAACTGGTTTAGTAGATTATTCGGAACAGGTATACGTTTCAGGGCTAATACAATTACCAGGCGTGTCTTTGAAACGGCCGGGGCAAAGTATTCACGTGACTCGAATTCTCAATATGTAAATACGCGTAGTGTCCCAACAACATGTTTCTAAGTAGACGAGGATGGAATTTCGAAATTAGATTTGGCCAACGATACTACACACAATTTGCGGAAACATCAGAACTGGCCAAATTCGTTTGATAAACAGTTTGTTTAGTAAACAATGCTGTGAAAAGTAGGATCTGTTACACGTGGTATTCAGTTTTTCAAATAACAACTGTATAACCGTAGACAGTGAGTTACATTTGTAATGCACTCTACGCATCTGCAAACGCTACTCCATAGATATCCTATAGGTAGTAGTCACTTCGCTATTTCGAATTCCGATGTCGCTTGTACGTTTTTATGATCGCGACTTCATCAGCGTGACTTTAAAAGTAATAAAAAATACCTATGTTACTCAGTGAAAACATAGTTTTGTAACGGTGAAAACATTTTTGAAATAGGCCCTGTAGTTTTTATGTTATTTGTATACAGAAAGGAATATTTTATTTGAATATTTTGTCAACGGTAACTAACGGTAAAAACAGGCAACATAGAGTCGTTCGTAAAGATTTGTTGTTTGCGTACAGCAATCATTAATCAAAAGAGAAACAAACGTGACCGTAATACACTCATAAGAATTCCATGCTTCATTCGCTTGGCCGACTTTTTGAATTTTTGTATGAAAAATTCGGTCATAGCCCTCGTATGTTCTAACTTTTATATAGATGTCACGCTTCGATGGTTTCATGTATTAGTTTTGAATGAATGTGATTTTTTTTCTCGATCAAACACATAATCTACACAGTAAGCAAGCATTACGAAAGTCGACTAGACTAGGATTTATGTAGAATTGACCCATTATAAGGTACTAGCCTTCGCCCGCAACTCCGTTTGCGTGAAATTAAAAAACCAAAAGTAAATAGCCTATGTGTTATTCCATACTGTGCTCTACATCTACGCCAAATTTCGTCGAGATCCATTATGTAGTTTAGGCTACAAACTGTAACAAACATCCATCTATCTAAACATTCGCAATATATTAGTATACATGTGATGATTACTTAATAAACATCAATAATTAATTTGAAGTGTATTAAAAGTACAGTTGTTGACAGATCTTGGCAGATCGGAAAATCTTACAAGTCGATATGCAGAATACAATTACGTAGGAGTAGTCAACAGTGGTAGTGCCCGCTTTAACATCTTAGCACTGTAGGGCCGGCACGCCCGGTGTAATGCCACGACCACACAGAAGACAGGCGTGAAATGGAAGCAATTCCGTGTTTCGTCTGATGAGTGCGGTGCTGGAGGTCTAATTTAAGTCCCTCACTCTTTACCATCCTTTTCTTATAAGGACAGGATGGGAAGAGGAAGTGGATTTGACGGTGGAGGAGATACATAGGAAGGGGAAATGTCCACTTGATGTGCGTCTCCTCCTCCGTCGGATAAGAGAAGGCAACGCATCTGCAATTGCAGATTTCTATGGGCAGCGGTCGCTTCGCCATTTTAGCGTATTCAGGTGGCCTGTTGCTCGTTTGCCACCTAATGTTATAAAATAAAAAAAAATATGTCAAGACGTAAAAGAGTGGGAGGGCATTTTTTGACGCTAGATAATTTATATTGATGTTTAATCCAATTGTTTTTAGAAAATTAAGCACATTAATAAATAAGCATGATTAAAATGAAATGATGAACACTTATAATCGTTTAAAATTCACGTTTCTTTAGGTCGGAA